CCCGAGCTGCAGCTTTGCGGCGGCGGCCGTTGCCGGGCCCGCAGCCCGGACCTCGGGGGGCAGTCCTTCCTGCTTGCCTTTCCAGCGAGGGGCCCCGCGGTCTCCTCTGCCCGCGGCCTGGCTTCCTGCTCTCGGGCGCTCTCTTCCAGCCCCCTCCCACAGCCGGGGCCTCCCTCCCCTCCTCCCTCCTACCTCCAGCCGCCAGGTCCCCAACCGCCCGCCAGGCTCCGGCCTGAGTGGCGGAGGCGCCTGCAGCTGCCAATCCCAAAAATATTCTCTGATGACACAGCTGGAGTACAAGAGCCCGGACTGGCTCCTCCAGGCTAAGTATAGAGCAGGCGGGACCACTTGCCCCCCGCCCCAGCCCCAGTTCTAGCCCGGGCCCCAGCCCTTCCCCCCACGGCTGGCCCAGCAGCTGCTGGTTTGAAAGAGGCCCCAGAAGGTCTGAGGGGCTGGTGCACACTCTGTTTCCCCTGCAAATGACTCTTTCAGGGACTGGCCGACCCCAGCTCCTGTCCCACCTGATGTCACCTCTGTGCAGGGTGCAGGGATGTGAGCTTCACACAGTGTGGGTGTGTTTGCACCCGCAAGCGAATGTGGAGGGGGAGGGGGCTTATGTTTGTGTGTGGATCGGGTCACTTGGGGTGAAAACCCTCCCCGGTCCCCTCCCCCACATTCCTGGCGGGAGTGGGAGATAAGGCTCAGGGCCACAGACATCTGCGTCAGAGATAGGAGGTCTCAATGCCACGGGCAGGGGCATCTCGGACTGCGGGGCGTGGGAAGGCCTGTGGAAGACTGGGGTGAGGAGGGTAGAAGAGGGCGGGTATGGGGTGGGGAGGGGAGAATAGGGAAGCCCTGGGCAGACCCTGATAGAAGGGGCACAGGGCAGGGTGTGGGCTCCCTGCTGGCAGGGCCAGGTGAGCTATGGTGTCCCAGCTGCTCCCGCTGCTCCTCTTGCTGCTGGCCCCACGGGATGGGCACTGCTGCCAAGGGCCAGAGCCAGCCCGGGAGCTTGTCCTGGCCAAGGTGAGGGCCCTGTTCCTGGATGCCTTGGGGCACCCCGCAGGGACCGAGGAAGGTGGGGATCCTGGAGTCAGGCGGCTGCCCCGAAGACATGCCCTGGGGGGCTTCTCGCGAAGGGGCTCTGAACCCGAGGAGGAGGATGTCTCCCAGGCCATCCTTTTCCCGGCCACAGGTAACGAGGGTGGGGAACCGGCAGGGTGACTTTGAGAAGCAGTATGACACAGCATGGGTTGGGGAGCCAGGTGGACCTGGGTTTGAATCCCAGCCTTGCCACTCAGTGGCTTTGTAACAATAGGCCAGTTACTAAGCCTCCCTGAGCCTCTGTCTCCTCATATGTAAAATGGGCGATAACACCAACCTGTCGGGATTAGTGAGACGGTGTGCCTAGAGTGCATGGCACATAGGAGGCATTTGGGAGGGATGTGCAGGGAGATAACGGCTCTCTAGAGACAGAGAGGTCTGGGCTTGAGTCCCTTCCTGCCGTCTTTCCTCCTATCGTATGCTCCGTATCCCACACCCTGTTTCTCTGTCCCCGGATAGCTGACATTGAGAAGCTGTCAGGGATGCAGGAAAAATATTAGTTGGGAAACTTTTCTGGGAAATAAGTCAACCTTCTCTTGTGTTCCCATCTCACTTTCTTATGTGTACCCCCCTATTCTATTGACTGAACGGATAAAGCCCTCTTCCAGGTGGGCTTTCTTGTCATCGGGCTCACAATTCTCTTAGGACCCGTTCCTCCCTCATTTCAACCCCTGTGCAGCACAGTGAAGGAAAGTATGGCTTTGAGATCAGGCAGAGTTCCCACCTGGCCACTTAGTAGTTGAATGTCACTTCACCTCTCTAAGCCTCAGTTTCCTCATCTGAAAAACGGGTCAGTTGTTTTGAATTTATAATAAAAGAAGCCATGTGACAGTATAATTTCAATTGCCAGTCCTTCAACTGGTGCTGGTCCATGATTAGTATAGTCTATGTATATGTTAGGATAAGCATACCGACCACACATTTTGGGAAAGGACTGCCGTCTTTTCTGAGTTATCTCTCTCTTCCTTCTTCTCCACCTTTTTCCTCTCTTTCCCCCCATCCTTCTTCACCTCCTCCCTTTTTTGTTTTTTTTTTTTTGAGGAGTGTTAACCTGTCTGTTTTTTTTTTTTGAGTTGGAGTCTCACTCCGTCACCCAGGCTGGAGTGCCGTGGTACCCTCATGGCCACCCCAGCATTGACCCACTGGGCTCAGGCAATCCTTCCACCTAAGCCTTCCAAGTAGCCAGAACTACAGGTGTGCACTATCACGACTGGCTAATTTTTTTATTTATTGTAGAAATAGAGATAAGGTCTCTCCAAGTTGCCCAGGCTGTTCTCGAACCCGTGGGCTCAGGCAATCCTCTCACCTCAGCCTCCCAAAAAACCTGTCTTTTATTTTTTAATTTTTTTAATTTTTTATTTTTTTGAGTTGGAGTTTCACTCTGTCACCCAGACTGGAGTGCAGTGGCTGCTCCCGGCCACCACAGCCTCAACCTTCACTGGGCTCTGGCAATCCTTCCACCTCAGCCTTCCAAGTAGCTGGAACTACAGACGTGCGCTACCATGCCCGGCTCATTTTGATTTATTGTAGAGATGAGTTCTCGCCAAGTTGCCCAGGCGGGTCTCGAACCCACAGGCTCAGGCAGTCCACTCACCTCAGCCTCCCAAAGGCGTGGGATTACAGGCTGAGCCACCGAGCCCGGCTAAACCTGTCTTTTAAAAATGGAATTATCTTAAAGAATTTATCATACAATATTCTTGACATGCCAAAAGATGCAAGAATAGTGTCTACGTGGGTGTCCATGTTGACACTATTTGGGATGCCATTTAACACTATGGGATGAGCAAACATTGAAGTCTGCCTACCAATTGTTAGTGTTGGTGAGGTAGAGAGTGACAGGGTCTCTTACACACTGCTGATGGGAATGTTAATCAGTAAAACCCATCCAGAGAGATGCTGGCAATGTTCTGTATTTTTTAAAGTCCTTTAATGATGAAATTTTTTTTTTTTTTTGGGTTGGAGTCTCACTCTGTCACCCAGACTGGAGTGCAGTGGC